TATGTCCCACTGAAACTGCTTAACTCTGCCAAGCTGGCTATGCTTTATCCATCTACTTTCTAAGATTTCTAAAACTTTACTTCTCTTATCTGATGTTATGTTGCCTCTTCCATTTTCTTCATTATGATTTTATTGTCATTTAGTGAATTTTAGAAGGGAGGAGATATAAATATACATTCCAAACTCTACATGTAACTGAAAGTCTAAAACTAATTTTCTTAAATAAAAACCCCGTGAAAACTGAAAAATTCTCACTTAACAGGTAAAGACTCCTCTCCATTCAAAATATACTTGTTGGCTAAATAAATAAAAGTGCCATCCCACCTATGCTTATGGATATTTAGTTCACTAATAATTGTCACCATAGCCCAATCTCCAAAACTGTCACAAAACGCAGTATATTTATAAAGGCCTTATGACATTAATAGGGTGTTAGGAATATTACATTTATGTATTATAATTACATTATACACAACATGAAATTAGAACACTGACAGACACTGGCTAAACTTAATACTTTCATCAGAAAAGATACCAAAGTTATTAACTTTATTCAATTCATAAACACCACCAATGTCAAGTAAATGACATCTTGGAAGTTTGATTAGCCAGTAATTAATGACAATTCAAGTAGATATGAAACTCAAGCATAGTCTGTAAAAACTGGAAATCAAACAAAAAAAATTCCAACTCTAAAGCACTTCAGACAAAATGCAATTGAGAAACAGAGTTTTAGTATATGTGTTTCTAAAGCATCTTTTTCTTTTACTTCAAACTTATTTAGAAATCCCATAGTTATGTAAGAAAAGCAATGGAAAATTTAAGGTATGCACATTCAAAATCTTCCTTACCTAAGAATCCAAGGTAGTTCTCATCTGCAAACAACTGTCAGATTAAGGAGGAACAATGTGTTGTAAGATTATATAGCCCCACCTACAGTCATAGGCTATACGCAATCTTAAATGTTTTGATAGGCTGCAAGATTTATGCTGGAAGAAAATCAAATGTGGATACAATCTATACAACTTAGGCAAGTTTTACTTCTAGATAGAGATAGTCATCTGCTTATATTAGTGAGATTATATTTTATTTAATAAGAAAATTTTTTTCTAATAAAATTTTACACAAACCTAGACAATATATATATGACAGAAAGGGAACATATGATCAGCATGAATTTTTAGAGATTCAGATTTATTTATTTATTATAAAATCAGTCAATGAGAACAATGAGGTAGAACAAAACCACTTGAAAGTAGTTATAGCATGCAAATAATGTCTGTACTTTGTCTACTCAGTATTTTGCTTTATTTATCCAGGTAAGAACTGCAAGTGACAAGTTTTGTCTTTGCAACTGCTGTTGCAACATCCAGGTGGTCTTCAATTAAATTATATTATACTTGAAAGGGAAGCAGTGAGATAATTTCCTTTCAAAGTTAAAGCATTAAAAATATCTAACAATAACTAGTATTATTTATCATTTATATAGAAGCTTTGAAACTTCCTCAAATGACAAAAACTAAAACGACAAAAGTACATATTATCAAATAGAAGCTGTGGGGTGTGTTATTGTCCTACAAATACCCAGAGTAGAGCATATGCTGGATATGAGTCTGAGTCTTGACTGACAATGAATTAGTGCTATTTCTGGTCACTAGGAATAAACCACTTTATAAAATATTTAGTGCCTGGACAAGTGGTGGTGAAATTTTTTAAGGCCCATAGAAGAGATACAAAATTTGTAAGTGGTATCAAAATATAAGTACAAACAGCAGAAGCTTTAGGTTCTATTATTTTAAATTAGGCTTATAAGAAATATTAACATGTTGGTGGTGATCTCTCTACAGTAAATGTTTGGTACATAACAGAGGTGAGCCAAGGAGTTATTTTAAGTTAGGGGATTTTTTAAAATTTTAAAATGTACATTACAATTATGTTTGCTTGTGTTCTAACAAGGAAAGACTAACTTGTCTCTAAACAACTTTCCAGTGAAAACAATTAGTTCAGCTGAGGAAATATAGAGAAAAAAGCCTTTTGCTAAAAATGCCAGCAGCCACTAAGATAACTGTGCAAAAATGTGTAATAAAAATAAAATGGAAAAGAAATAGAAAATATAAATGAACAGAGAATATGGAGTAGGTATAACTTCCAAAAAGCAAAAGAATATATTTAAACACAACTATATCAGTGACAAGTTAAAAATAGACTATGCTAACTAGATAAAAGAAAAAAAGTCTGATCCTTTTATGACATTTTGTTATACTTATGGATTCTGTGGGTCAGGAATTGAAAAGGGCAGAGAAAAGTTGATCTATTTCTTTTTTTTTTTAAAGATTTATTTATTTATTTATACAAGCACTGGGTACAGTCAGAAGTGCGGGAGGGTGAGAGAATTCACCAGAGCCAGAGCGGGGAGCAGAGCAGGCAGAAGGACCGAAGTACACTGCTGAGGGGAGCAGCGGGCGGCAGGAGAGGTCTGTGCTCCATGCGGGACCCTCCTCCGGTGGTCGGGGAGCAGCAGGGAATCAGCTGGGGATCGAAGCGGTGCTGCAGAGGCTGTGGGCAGCTTCACGACCCAGCGCTCAACTGCTGCGCCACTGGGGAGGCCCAAAAGTTGCTCTATTTCTAATCTACAAAGTGCTGAATTTTAGCCGAATGTGACACATTCACTAGGGCAGGAGTCACCTGGAAGTGTTCTTATTTAGGTCTGATGATTGACATTGTTCTCAGAAAGGTTGCTGCCCAGAAATGCATGCTCTCTGTGTTCTTTCCACATGGACTATTTTGGAATTGTTCAGAATACAGGTTTCCACACATGGGTTCCAAGAGCAATTGTCATAAGAGGATCAGAAGCTGTATCACTTGTAAGAGCTAGCCCCAGAAGTCACAAAGCATCACTTCCAGGTTAGCCACAAGCCTACTCATATTCAAGGGGATTAAAAATGGACCTCATTCAATAGGAGTGTCAAAGTCACGTTATAAGAAGAGTGACATGCTATGGGAGTTATTGTTGTGGCCAACTTTGGAAAACAATTTGTCAAATTAGGTTAAAGGTACATAAGTTTTAGTTTTACAGAATATTTCAAGTAGCACTGATAAGTATTTTGAACCTTTCAGAGAGGGACAAAGAGTCTTTAAAAAACTGATTCAACCAATTTGTCAGAGATGATTGCATTAACCTTTCTTCTTTTGCAGGACAGTTTGGGAAAATATTGGAGGCATAGAGTCTGACAGTTTTTAAAGGGATTTTGGGGATTTGATTAAAGTAGTTCTTTTAGGGAAATTGTGAAAGACAAAAACCCCACAAGATTTGTGATCTTGGAAATTATCAAAATAAGCTAAGCAAGAAAAGAGGGCAAGAGTGGAGATGTACATTATTTTGCAACTTCATGTGAATATATACTTGTATCAATTTTAAAAAATGTTAGCGAGGTCTTTACTTGTAAGTGGTAGAGTGGAGTGAAAGGAAAAAGACTAGGAAGCTTGCCTCATAACCCCACTTAAGCTTCAAAACATACAGGTGTGAATCAACATAAATATAGATGCACAGACAAAATCTTCCTTACAGTCTGCTATAAGATTTATGTCTACTGCATCTTTCTCCAGAATATCAGAGGAAGTAATCATTTTTTTGTATCTTGAATTGACAATAATCTCACCAACTGCAATAAAAACCACTTTTTTTTTTTGATGGTTCATTTGCCAAGTACATTTTCATCCTCTCCTCTGCAAAGCAGGCAGCAGAATTAATGGAATAAGAAATTGACAGCCGGAGATTCTTTGTTATTTGTAAAGATTATGGGGCTTTTAAGTGATAAAATTAATTCTATCTCTGACTCCTACTTCCTATTTTCCAGTCACATTATTACTCCCAATTTTTATGTGATAATATAGAATATGACCAACAACTAGTATACAATTGCAGGAGAAAGTTGCAGTGGGGCTGCGTGTGATGCACCATCCGTCTACACCTGGGAGGACTCTCTTGCTCCTACTTGATAAATGGTCATGAAAGTACAATTTTACAATTTTTTAAATGACTTCTACATTTTGCCTAATAGTTGTTTTAATGACTCCATGCTATCCAGTAAGATTCTTCTCTAGCGTGCACAACTGGGTCAGAAGAACAAGCTTATATGATCACCATAAAAACCCATCGCCACTTCTTTAGAAACATCAAAACCAAAACATGTTCCATACTCATGATGAACTTGCAGAATTGCTCTCATTTGAAAAGCCCTCGATTTTTTTTTATAACTCCTTTACTATTTTTATACCAACAACTACATCACATTTTATTGTAATAATACACCCCAAATTTTAAAATGTGTTAGAAATTTAGCTTCTGGACAATCGAAGCCAAGTGATAAAACAGAAAACCTCACTGGTTTCCCCACAAGTATTCCGTCTAAATTCAGGGGAATAAATTCCGTTTTCACTTGGGGGCCGCAGAGAACTATTGAATCAAGTTGATGAAGTGTCGAATTTAGAGACTGGGCTAGGAGTCGATTCTCAGAAGGACCTGCGTGTCCTGACACACCTGGGAGCGGCTGATCCTGCAGAGAAACTGAGTCCCACCCAGACGGGCTTCTGGGGGCCCGCGGGTGGCCGCTCGGGGGTGCGGGGGTTCGGGGGTGGGAAACGGCTCGCCCGCGGCCACGGACGGCTCAGCAGGTGCAGGAACGGCGATCTCTGGCGAGCCCGTCGGGGCGCCTGCTCACGTCGTCCGGGCAAGGCGCCCCAAGACCTGGGCCCGGCGCCCCACGGCAGCGGCACGCCCCCCGCGCGCCCGGGCGGCTGGACCCGGAAGCCCGGCCTCGGGGACCGACCCCGACCGCCCGCACCGTCACAGGGATTCCGGGCGGCGGCTCCGAACGCCCAGCGGTCGCCGCGCGCGGGCGTCCGGCCCAGGGCAGCCGGGACTCGGCCCCGCGAGGCCCCGCAGGGCGAAGGACTCCGGCTCCCGCGCCAAGTCGCCGGGACTCGCCTGCCCCGCTCACCTGTCAGCCCCGAAGCAGCTGGATCTCGTGACGGTCAAGAAAGGCGCCCCCGGCAGGAAGTCCCGCCCCCTGACGTCACAGCGCCGCGCCGGGGATCCGGCGCCCAAAGGTGGTTCCGGGCGCCCGGGCTTGGGAGGTGCCTGACCTTGGCCTGGGACCAGCGGGTCAAGGTGAAACCCCGGGGGGTAGCTGTTCTGGAACTTTCTCTCCCCTTTCGTCTGTGAAGTCCGCCTTGGTAGACTTCTGATTTTCCTTTCTCCGTTTATCCCACGTTATTCCTATTTTCCCTTCCGCTGTTATACATCTTCTTTCTTCTATTCCCCGTATACACAGAAAGGTCGCTTTTCAAGTGGTGGTGGTTATTGGCATTAGGATGGCCAGCCTCTGTTACTCTGCACCTAGCAAAATAACGAACATATTTACTGTTGCGAACTGACCCCACCGTAACCCCATGAAGACCAAGGTAGTAATCATCTTGTGAATTGTCGATCCTTAGCGAATGGCACGTAGTAGTGCTCAGTTCATATTAGTATACTGCAAAAATGCAATAGTGAATATGATATGGTTTTTTAGCCGGGTGGGGGGGGGGGCTAGACTGGTGAATCACCCTTGCAGGGAAATGAAACCTTGATTGTTTGTATGCAGCATCTCAGTGGTCAGTATCCAATGAGTTGTGGAAATTAGACTAATACATGTTCTTCATTACTTTCCAGATTTGCAGTTTTATTTCCTAAATATGAAATGTTAACAAGAGTTTAAGAAAAGCAACTCACTGCACTAAGAGCTTTCATGAATTAACTCATGTTTAATCCTCACAGGAACCCAACTAAATCAGTATTGACATATGATCATAAAATCTGGAAACACAAACACACAAGATTAATGAGTGATTACACTACAATGGCATTACATGATATAGTCAAGGTGTTGTTCCTCATTACTTATGCACAGCTCATTGTGTGTGCAAAATTCCAGTCAGTATGGTCCACTAATGCAGCATTACTTTCAATCCTTGCAAGTGCACTTCTGGAGCCTTGGTCAAATGATTTATGTCTCTGATTTCATTAAATAAGCCTGTGTCAGAAATATTAACCAAGGGGTTCCAATCTTTAAAAAAAAAGCTATCTTCCAGATTTATCTACTCTGGATTATTATCCCCATGTTGCCCACAGGTAAAATGAAACAGAGAAATGAACTTGCTCAAGATCACTTGGCAGAGCAAGTCTTTGCTACCCTATAGATTGCATTCTGCTTGGATGAGTTACCACTACTGCTGTGGTTGAAGTACTTATTCTTGTACACCCAGACACTTCCAGTAGTCTCCTAATTGTTTTCCATTCCTTCCCTCTATCCTTGCTGTTCCCACGATGGCCATGATTGCTTCAGTAAAGCTTTCAAACTTGTGCATACACTATTCATAGCCCACATGGATTGATATCCCCCTCCAAGTGCAAGAATTCATCCAGATAAAAGTGGAAATAGGATCTGAAAATTAGTTGTGAATCCAGAGAGAATTCTTTCTCCATCTCTTGCTATAAGATGTGTAGAGCTAACATCAGCTTATTGACCATCCTGCCACCATCCTGAGAGAAAGAAATAAGCCTCTGTGATAGTTTTTGGTGGTGTTACTGCAGTACAGTGTAGCCTCTCCAGAGTGACATACAGGGAGACCCTTTCCTCTCACTCTCTTGATTTCAATTCTAATTACCCAGGCTCAGCTTGGATTTGTTTTCTAGCAATGGTTCAATTATCAGTGACAAGAGCTAGGAATCATATTGTACCTGTACAGTAGGGCCCTCTGCTACATTTAAGGGGGTCACAGTGAGCAAGCAAATGTCCCACAAAAGTGCCTACTATAAGCACGTATGGCTGTAAAATTAGACCACTCACAATAATTTAAAAGCAGTATATAAAAATGAAACATTTTACTTTTCACATAAAACTTTTAGACTTATTACTCATTCCATGTTTATGGACTACCTACCTACTACATAATAAACACTCTTCCAGACACTGAGGATACAAAAGCAATCCAAAGAGAAAAACCCTTCCTCCCACAGAAACAAAAAATTAAGTACTTTAACATGTGATAATAATGGAAGAGGAACCGAAAGGTGGTGAAGCATCAGTTACCTACTCTTGTTTAACACATCATCCCAAAACACAGCAGCTTAAAACAGTGAACATCTATTACCTCATACTGTTTCTAAGGTCAGGAATCCCAGAGTAGCCTTGCTGGAAGGCTCTAGCTCACTGGTGAGGTTGTAGTCAAGCTTCTGGGTGGTGTAGATATCTCAAAGTTCCACGGAGCTGGACTGACGTGATTGTTGGCTGGCCACGGTCCTCACTGGCTGTTGGCCAGAGGCTTCAGTTCCTCCCCCTGTGGCCTCTCCCTAGAGCTTCCTGAGACTTGGCAACAGGAAGCAAAGCAGAGGAGCAGAGAGAGAGCGAGAGGAGGACAAGGGGGTACACTCAAGAAGGACATCACAGTATTTTACAGTCGAGTCTCAAGACTGTTGTACCAACAACCTCTGTGTGCTTTATCACTTGTGTGTGCTGTGCAATGTCCATAGGCCACATGAGGGTCCAGTGTTAGAAGGCAGGGGCTATTGGGGACCGTTTTGGAAACTGGCAACCACCCACAGTGGTGCACTGTTTTGTATCATGAAACCAGCAACAATCCTCTCTTAGGAGACAAATTTGTGAAGAGATCTTCATGAAGAGAAGAAATAAATGCAGGATGATGTTAATGAGAAAGTTCTGGCAGAAGACTCCAATCCAACTCATTTTCTGACCAGCCATAAAACAATCATATGCTCCCTGACATACTCTCTGTGGTGTTATTTTGAACTGTTATTTTATTCCTATAGGGGAATTTTAAAACTTTTAACTTTTATCTCTAAAACTATAAATTTTAGTAAATATTTCTAGTTTTAGGGGTAAAGTAAGACATTTCAAGTAATTGATTTGTATCCAACTTAAAATACTGGCTTATAATTTTCTTTTCCAATAGTAAATAGCTCTGATTATTGAAATTGGATGTAGTTATTAGTGGAAGGCATATAGAGGAATGTGTAAAACTTTATTGTGGCGTATTTGGTTGGATAACAAACTGAGTGTAGTTCCATCTAAGAAATGGAATAGAAGTAAAATTTTAGATGATAGTATGGTTTTTGGATATGAAAAGTTAAAACCAGTGGATGGCATTTTTTCTGTTGTCTAGTTACTATCTCCTCCCTTTCAAACAGTATTTCTCCTTCCCCAAGAAGCTCATGTGTCTATAGGAGATTTCTAGATGGACCCTGATGGGCTCAATCAAGGCCTTTGCCTGACCTTAGACATTGATTCCAGGATGGGTCTGTGAACTGAACTTCTTCTGTCAGGGTGAAGTCTGGAAAGCTGTGGGGACCTGTGCTTTTTGTCCTTGCAGACAATGTGTGAATAGGATGCCTAGGATTGCTGCACATGTTGGCCTCCATGATGAACATCTGGCATTGAGAGGGTCACCGAGAAATGGGGGCAGATTCCTGATCCACTATGGAGAAGTCAATTAAACTCTGAGCTTCCCAGTTGCATGTTCCAAGAAAATTCTATGGTTGTCTAAGTCAGTTTCATTTGTGGTTTACTATTTTCATCAGACAACCTCCAAATGGATACCTTCTGGCCTATTATAGGGGCATCTGGGAACTCATCATAAAAGCATTCAGGGTAGACTTGCCTCTCACCCCCCACAAAAAAGATTTTAGTGGCAGGCCAGGGATCTGTGAGGATAAGGAAAATATGGCAGATAGAGGTCAACAACTATCTTTAGAAATTAAAAACAAAATAGGAATTGGGACTAGCTACAGATGACTATCCCTTTAGAGTACAATATGTCCCCATTTTATTGGATTCCTTGGAAACTATTTGCTTTGTTCAACAAAGTTTTTGTAGGCTAATTATACTGCAATGAACTTTTACAAATAATTCCTTTTTACTTTTTTTTTTTTTTTACTTTTTTAATGGAGACTTTCTATTCCCCAGTAAAACAAGATTGGAATTTTTCATAAATGAAAACGTCTTTCCATATCATCCATTTACCTATCTGTAAAAGACTGAATACTGTCCCTACAAAGACTTCCATGGCCTAATCCCTGAAACATTTGGATGTGCTCCATTACATGGTGAAGATGACTTTGCAGATGTGATGATTAAGATGTGTTAAGGATCTTGAGATGGGAAGATTATCCTGACTTTTCTAGGTGGGCCCAATGTCCCATGTATGAGGGAAGCAGGATGGGCAGAGTCAGAGAAAATATGTGATCATGGAAACAGGGAGAGAATGTGGTGCAGGCAACAGTCAGAGTCAGAGAGAGAACTCAGAAGATGCTGTGCTGTTGGTTTCAAGATGGAGGAAGGGGTCACCAGCCAAGGAACGCACGCAGCCTGCTATTGGAAAAAGCAAGGAAATATATTTCCTTGGAATATATTTCCCCCCAGACCTTCCATAAGAAACAGAGGCCTGCCACCACTTTGATTTTAGCCCAGAGTAGCTAATTTTAAAATTCTGACCTCTAGAATTGTGTGTTTTGTTTCATGCCTAAGTTTGTAGTTACTTGCTACAGTCACAATAGGAAAATAATATTTCAACTGAGTAAGGACTTAAATTATTCTGTTTTGTAAACCAGAGGGTAGTATTAGCTAGGTAGATTTCAAGTTTCAGAGTACACTAGCTGTTACCAAACACTAACTTTTCTTGCTTTTACCAAACATAATAGAAGCTTGTTTCCCCTTCATTGCATCTCTGTTTTGCTGTTGGCTGAACATTCCTGTTTAACGTGACTTTTGACAAACATTTAGTCTTGACAGAGAGAAAGCTAATTGACTCAATGAATTTTTGTTTTCCTGTAATGCTTACCTTCCTTTGGTCTTAGCCATGTGTGTTAGTTTTTAAAGTTTATAGTTTAAAAATGCATTATGTTATGACCTTATAAATTTGCAAAGGTGTCCCATTCTCAATTCAAACCCACCAGGGGAACATTTGTTTTGCATTCTCATTAGCAGGGTTA